GACCAATCACACCCCACTAGGGGCCTAGGGTCACCCCTAGAGGGGGTCTGAGGCTTTTTCCGTCTAGTTAAATAGAATCCAAAAGTATATACTAAAAAAAAAAAGTCACTAAATATGAAAAAACCCAACAAAACCACTTTGCACAAAATATATTTGAATTAATTATCTAAAAGCCTTATTTACTAATGTTATGATAGTTCGGATCCTATTTAAAATTTTTGAACTAATAAATCCTATGTAGTAAAATTAAAAATATTATCAATTTTTGAAATGAAGAACATTATCAATTTTCCACCTACTGCCTGTTTTTATCTTTTGTTCTTAAATTGTCCAACTTTGGATTCCCAACCGAGATGATGTACTCCGGTTGGAAGAGTTGGTGTCTTGTCCAACTTCAAATTCCCAACCGAGATGACGTGCTCCGGATGGAAGAGTTAGTGTTTTGTCTAACTTCGAATTCCTAACCGAGATGACGTGCTCTGGATGGAAGAGTTGGTGTTTTGTCCAACTTCGAATTCCCAACCGAGATGACGTGCTCCGGTTGGAAGAGTTGGTGTTTTGTCCAACTTCGAATTCCCAACCGAGATGATCTAATCCGGTTGGAAGTGTTGATTTGTTCAACTTTGTTACAACCGAGATGGTTATTTCGGTTCATGAATTTGTTTTGTTATGCTGAAGTGCTTCGACCGTGTTATGGATTCCGGTCAACAAAGTGTTGTTCAAACGATGAGTTATACCGAGATATTTTGCTGAAGATGGAATTGATTATTACCGTGCAAACACTTAGAAAAATTTGAGTTTCTTATTGAAAAGACAATCATTACAAAAGGTGGGGACAGAGCCCGGTTACATCAAAAGAGTTGGAAGCAAAACTACAAAAAAGAACAAAGAGAACAGAACTAAACTAGGGGGGAGAGATTGGTGAACTCGTCCTCGCCAGCATCAAGGTTGATGGTTAGGCTGACGTCTCGGGCACCGGGCTCAGCATTACCTGGCTGCTCCTGCACCTCGGCCTCCTCTGCCTCAGAGTTTGTCTCACCGTCTCCATCTTCAAGTCCTTCATCGGCCTCCGCTTGCAGAGCGCTGAATACGTCGTTTGCGTAAGGCACAAGGTAGACCGGTAGCGAAGCTGGAGGTGGGTTGGCAAATACGTCGGTGTCGGAGCCTTGGCCGAGGTGTTCGCAGGCAGACTTCCAGCCTGCTTTGAAGTAGATGTCTTGTGTTGCAAAGACTTGCTTCTTATAGCTCTCCTCGGCTTCGTTAAAGCCGGCGGTGTTTGCAGCCCGGCAAGCTTTCTTCTTCGATTTCTTCAGGGCATCCACCTCGGTCTGGAGCTCATTTTGTTTTTTCTCGGCTGCATCCAGCTGGCCGAGCAGTCTGTTGTTATCGGAGTTGGCCATCTCAAGAGAAGACTTAGCCCGGCCGAGCTAGGCTTGAAGGCTTTCTACCTTGCTGGCTGTGTCGTTGGCTTTCTGCCTAAGTCTGTGGATACGCTCCAAGACCAAGTGTTGTTTTTGAATGGCCTGCAAAAACAAAAGCAACGTTGATTAGATAGGAGACCGAGCAAAAACGGAACCGAGCAAACACTTGCAAAATTTTCAAAGGAACATCGACTTACCCTGGCCATAGACTTCACCGACGACTTGACCAACCGAGTGTCGGGGACGTGGTCGCTGCCGACCACGTCGCTCGGTAGTAGCAGGGCTTTGGACAGATCGAAGGCGAGCAGATGCTCTTTGTCAGCCTTGATCGAAGCCGTTGCCAGGATATCTTGACCCCGGTGCTTCAAATGTGGGCGCCAGGCCGGCACTGGGGTGGGGGCGTCTGTTGGGTGCTCGATGGTAAGCTCGGTGACTAACTCGGCGGACGGGTCTGCCCGAGCTCTTTTACCGGCACGTCGAGCAGAGGGTTCTCGGCTGGATTGCCCGGCGGATTGAGTGGCAAGGGCGACCACAGCGCCACTAGATTGACCGGCGGCTGGCGACCGAGTTACTACGCTCGGCACTTCGGCGGATGTGGCGGTGAACAGGTTTTTGATTCGACTTCTTTTGGCCATTTCTTGCTCGTCTGTTAACCGGATTAACGGGACGTCGGGTAGGGTTGGATCTGGAGGTGGCGAAGGAGCTCTGAGGAAATCAGTTACTCTACTCCGGCGCGGAGCAAAATATCTGTAAGTCGGGGTGTAGCCGAGTAAGTCGTTGCAATCTCGGTGGGAATACCGAAGCACGGTCCGAATTTCCTCGACGTTGGGAAATTGATAATTGGCTTGCAAGGCTTGATTTGCTGCAAAGGAAACAAGAAAACCGGTTAGTTACAAGGTAACGTTAAGCTAACCGAGCAAGTTTGAGTGGCTTACATGAAGAACCGAAGCCCTGTTTATAAACCAGCCCGGGACCTCGGCTGTTGTAATTGCCCGCACCCAGAAAAAATCATCGTCGTGAAGATCTTTATCCGGGGTGCTGGTCACATTTTTTTCCTGCCGGTCTAATCTTCAAGTAATATGCTAGGCCGTCGCCGGTGTGGCCCATTGTGTATTGCTCTAATATCTCGCTAGACCTAAGTGGGTGCCTAGCCGATTGTTCAATTCGTGAACACCGTTGATAATGTCTATAGGTATTGTGGACAACTTGGTGGGTGCCAGCCCCGGTGGCGGCGAAGGACTCGGTTATAAAGGTGAAGCGGGAACGGAGGCCCCCTTCAACAATTGAGAGCACGGTGAAGGGCATTGGTCAACTCTTCCCCAGGGTGTGGTCTCCTCTTCAGCCAGTTTCGAGATGAACATCGGCCGGAATGCCGTAATCCTCTCTGAAAGCAGCTAGCGCGGCCGGAGTATCCACTAGGAAGCGGAATTTCCCCATTTGTGGCCGGCTTAGTGTATCCCGGCTGAGGGGTTTGGCACTGGTTATTGGATGCTGCTCGGTCCTGAGAGCCTCAGGAATGACAGTGGTCCCCTTGGACTCTGCAGGAAAAGGATGGCAAGTGTTAAGTGTGAGCGCGGTCGCGCAAAAGGAGCTGGACTGTAGCTCGGTCATTAAGAGTGCCAAACCACCTCGGCTGTCTCTTCTATCTAAGGTGCCCGGTCGCCCAAGCAGACCAGATGTTAGCCCGGTTGAGCGATCAAGTCCTTTTGTTATCTCGATTTTTGCTGGGGTTGAGACAAACATATTTTTTGCTCGGTCAGATTGGTTTTTTTGGATCAAAAGGAGACCAGGAGCCCGGTTCGCTCCAGTTCTTCAGTGTTCTTCAGGAAGAAGAAGAACACCAAGAACAGTGGGAGGTTTAGTACGGATTCTACGACCTATGCCCTAAGAACTACGTTTTTGTGCCCTAATGTGTATAATATGAAAGAAAATAGCAACCAAATGGAGGAAGGAGGACTCACCAGTGAAAGGCAGGGTCGAGTCCCGCGAGCACAAAGAATGGCAGATGAGTCAATAGCAAGAATGCTAGAGCTTTGGAGTTGTGAGACGAAATAGCAGTAGGAAGAAATGGCTTGAGGGGGGTCATGTATATGTAAGTACGAAAGGCCGCCCAAATTCAAAAATCTGGCAAAAACGACGGGTTGGCTGCCCGATGACCAATGGCAGCCCGCCACGTGTCCCCATTTATGGCGACGTCAGGACTGAAGCGACGGGTTGAAGAGTCGAAGAGCCAACCGAGGTACTTTCGAAGGAACAGATGTCAGCCAAGAAGTATAACCGGGCAGGTTTGTGGACAGTTATGTTAACTAGCTCGGTTCCCCTTTGGAATTTTGGAGGACGGGGAAATGCTATCTCGGTCGAAGTGAGTAATCCCAGTCACGCTTTCACGGACGGAATTAAGGGGCAATTGAGAGTGTGATTTATGATCAGGAGTTGGGCCGAAGTAACGGCCGAGCAGATTGAGTGCCCAACGGTGCATGGGGCCGAGACGATTGATCATCCGCCAAGAAGTGGGCTGCCAGAGCTTGAGCCGGGCAGAACTTGTACCAAGTGTGTGCCGCCCCGGCCCAAGAAGGAGCTCGGCTAGATAGCGCTTGGTTGGACCGAGCTGCCTGATCAGGGGATGGCTGAAGCCAGACAAGCTGAGTAACCGGCGCCTGGAAAGGCGTGGTCAACCGAGGAGACTGTTTGACCGGCAGGAAGGCCGACCAAAGGAGGCACCCGGGCTAGGCACTGCCGGGATGCCGCCTAGCCCGATCCTCCATGTGTTTATCCGGTTAGGCGGTTGGGTATGAAGCATGGCATGGCCGTGGTAGAGCAGCTCGGCTGCCGAGCTCCAGCTGTGAAGTCAGGCAGTTGAGATTAGGTGATGATCGGCAAGGTTTACGCTGACAGATGGGATAGCAGAGCCACGTGTCAGGAGACGACTGGGAGTGGATATGGGGCTCAGAAGGTATATAAGCATGTCTGCGCCCCCCATACGGGACACACGAACATCTCTGTAAGGAATTCTTACACTCAAACACTCTCTCCCTTCTCTCTATCCGTCCTAAGGTGTGTGCTAACTTGATCGTCGGAGGGTTTTTTCGGCCACACACCGCCGGGTAGCTCACCGTTACTTGCTCGCAGGTGATTGGACATCGACGGAGCTCGGAAGAAAGGAGTACGAGCTTGCCGGAATATTTGCTCCCCGTACATTATGGATTAAAAAGAAAAGTATATGAGACTAATCAAGTTAAAACAATCATTTGTGGACCTAATGAGTTATAACAACTCTAAAATAGATTTATCAATAAAAATGTCAATAAAGAATAAAATCAATTAAAAAATTAATGTTAATGAACAAAAGAAAAAACAATATAATTAAGACTTTCAATAGAATTTTTTTTGAAAATATTTTAAAAATACACCTTTTGGAAATGGATCATTGAATAAAGGGTTGTTTAGAAAGTGTCATATTAGCTCACTTTATTATCTTTTTATTTTTTTGAGTCACATTACATCTCTACTTTTCTACACATCTTTTTTATAAAAAGTAAAAAAATATACTTAATTATCGTTTTTAAATCACATATGATATTTGAATTTAATTTGCATTTGATGTGACATGGACACTTTTTGTTCAACCATTTCATACTTGACAAGATAGCTGTTGCATGCTCTTGTGAAGACATTTTTACTTTCGTGAAACCTTAAAACTTGTATTGTTCATATTCATGTAAGGTTTACGAGACTTTAATTTGTTTGTGTACAAATAATGGAGTGGCTACTGTTTTTTTGTTGAGGGAACTGATTAGCATTTGCTCTTCTTCTTCTTCTTCTTCTTCTTCGTCTAGACTCATCTTCATATAATTCCTCGGAAGGCACGTGATTGCTTGTGGAGCTCTGAGGTATCCTAGATTTGTTTCTCTTTTCTTTTTTAAAATTTTTACTCACCCTGATGGGATATCTAAAAATTTAAATCTACAGAGTTTGCCTAGGTGTCCTCTAAAATTAGACCAGGAAACTTCAGGACTCGCTGATCGAATTCGCAAAGAATTATTATTCTCAGACAACTCCGAATATAGCAAGGGCCAAGGATCTAGTCTCTTCGCAAACTAGTGTTGTTATCACATGTACCCATTTGTACAATATGTATAATTATATAGCCCATTCTTTCATGGAGTATACTTGTGGAATGAGTTATATTTACTGTGATGATAATATATTTCCATGTTCAGAAAATTTCTTCAGCTGAGACTCAGAGAGAGTTGCTTGGGGTTGTGTTGTACCATTATCAGTACGGGTTACATGGTTAACATTGAAGACATTCTTTTTAAATTCAACTCTCTTTCTCTCTCTCTCTCTCTCTCTACAGCTTCTTTGTGTGTATCGAATGCATTTTGAAACTTCGTTACCTTTTTAAGCTCTGTAATTTGGCTCAGCAACAATGCTAGGTAGCTTAAAATTTTGTGACTCAAATCACTCAAAACGATGTTGTTTTGAGTGTAAATGAGTGTAAAACGACGTCGTTTTGACAGATTTGAGCCATTTGAGCCACAAAATTTTGAGCTACCAAACATTTTTCAATTTTAAATTTAAATTAATCAACTACTTTACATATTTAGTGCCCTTCAAATTTGAATTTTGAAATAGATTAGTATACTTTTTATTTTTTAGTTTATATATTTGACATACTTTCCATTTGATAGTCATAAATCAAGAGAAAAGAGGTTTTTTTTTTTTTTTTTTTTTTTTTGCTTGAATGAGAAATATTCAGGATTTTTTTTAATTATTTAAAATCAAAAAATTAGAAATTTTAATTTGAGATTGAAACTCCCACAAAACTTATGGTTAGAAAGCCCTTTTACTTATATAATATATAGATAGATAGATTTAATAAGAATTTATATATGTTTTAAATGTTTTTTTAATATACAAATTATTTTGGATAAATTACAAATACACTCCCTGACGCTTGATTAAAATATGAATCGCCCCCTATGGTTTTGAAAATTACATTACACCCCTTGAGGTTTCTAATTTCATAACAAATCGCCCTTTTATTAATAAATCATCAAATTAATTAATAATTTTTAATGATGTTAGAAATATGTCTCAATTAATAATTTAAGTAATTTTATTATTGTACAAGAGACCAATTATGAATTTTATTTTTTTAGTTAATTTTATTAAATAAAAAATATTAACAAGGAGGTATTTTTAATTTTTTCAAACTACAGTGGGCAATCTGTACTTTAAGCAAATCTCAGGAGGTGTATTTTTAATTTATCCAATTATTTTTTTTAGACTTTTTATAAAAATAATTTAACAATCCTATCATTAACCATAGTGTATGGGAGAAGTTGAAAATGGCGTAATAGTAAGTATGGGAGAACACAAAAAGGCTTGTGGGATGGAATAAGTCAATAAATGTTAATTTTTTTTTTAAATCAAAAAATTAGAAAATTAAAATTAAGATATTAAAACTCCCACATGGCTTGTGGGTTAGAAACTTCATTTTCTTTATATAATATATAGATATCTTATGACAATCATAATTAAATTATATAAAATTTTCAGATATAATTTAATAATTATAAAAACTTTGAAAAAAAATAGGGTTTTTTTTTTTAAAGTCCCTGGTAATATGATTTTATAGCATAAAGGACACCAAATATTTTTATAATGTCTAAGGTCCCTCAACAATATTTTCATAATGTCTAAGGTCTCTCAACCTTGATCCAGAGAAATTTCAGTGCAGAGAAAATTGGTCAGAGAAATTTTGGCCCAAAGAAATTTCTCTGGACCAAATTTCTCTGGATGAGTTTCTCTACTTTTCTTCTCATTCACATCCAAATCATTCTGATTCATTAGGTAAGCAACATTGTTCAAGCCATTTACATGGCTGAAAACCTGAACAAGGGAAGACGAAGAATTTCATTGCCAACTCTTCTTCTCGTTCCATCATTGCCTTGTAAAGGCCACACATGCCTTTATGTGTTTCCTTTCAGTGCTGCTTCTGGCAAAGAGCATTGCAATAAACCACTGCACAACACCAATTGCAACAAACAGATTGTTCTCCGTGAACTTCTTTCCCATACACAGATTTCGGAATTTCTCTCTAGAGAAATTCTGGATTTATCTCCAGAGAAATTTTGAAAATTTTGAATTTCTCTGACTTCGGATTTGTTTTAACCAAATTTCTCTGACTTCGGAATGTGTTTTAATCAAATTTCTCTGACTTCGAAATTTATCAAATATGTTTTCATAATGTGTTTTAACCAGATTTAGAGATGACTAACAAGGACAACCTAGTGAAACAACATACTAAAGTTGCTGAAGAAGCTGTCAAACTTGTGCACTTCTGCTACTCTCTTTTTTTTTCGCTCTGGATTTTTTTTTTTGTATTATTTTGTTTATCTCAATAAAAGGTAATAGACATATATATATATATATATATTACGGAAGTGAGGTCTTAGTAGGTAGAGAGATAGGAGTGTTGTATGGGTTCTATTGGGGAAAAGAAGGAATAGTTTTGGAAATTTACAGTTGGCAATTGCATTAGGAGAATTGAGATGCACTTGCTCATGTGATTCCCAGACTCCATCAGCTCTATCTAATGCAACTAAGCTCTCCATGTAAGTATACACATTTCTCTAGATAAGAATTTCTCTAGAAAGAATGAGAGATGAATTTCTGTGGGTTCAACCCAGAGAAAATTCAAATTTCTCTGGGTTTATTTTGACCAATTTTCTCTTAGTTCAAATTCAAATTCAAAATTCTTTGGGTTCATTTATAAACCAAAGAAAATTCAAATTTCTCTGGATTTATTTTAACCAATTTTTTCTAGTTTATAAATTACTGTTCCATCTGATAATTTGCTTCCTCCATAAGACCCACCAAAGACCACAATAGGGGATTCATCAGAAGAATGATTCTTCTTCAAACTCCTAATCAAAACTACAAAATCAACCAATGCTTTGACTTCGTGTAAACAATTCAGTAGACAAACTTGCTTGTCCTGAGGAACTTGCAAACAATTCAGTAGACAAAAGCTTCCAAACAATTCAGTAGACAAACTTGCTTGTCCTGAGGAACTTGCAAACAATTCAGTAGACAAAAGCTTCCAAACAATTCAGTAGACAAACTTGCTTGTCCTGAGGAACTTGCAAACAATTCAGTAGACAAAAGCTTCCAAACAATTCAGTAGACAAAGTTTTATGGTTATACCCGAGGTATGAAACCCCGAGGAGATTGCACAAAGGAAGCAACATGAGGAAATATGCAAAAATTTCATAAGTACAAGACTATGCAGAAATAGTCAACAGAATATCACAAGATTGGAACATCCAGAAGAAGAACTGTTGCAGTTACATATAGAAGAAACCACGTCGGCCAAAAGAAAGAGTTTTGCATTACCCAGAAAGTAAAAAAGTACAAAGCGCAAAAAACAGAAAAAAAAGGGAAAAAAGTACAAAGGACAATTTTTTCAAGATTCTTCAGCATCAGCCACTGCAGGGACTGGGACCTCAAATGACTCTGGTGGTACCTCCTCGGCCACTTTCTCCACTTCTATCTCGGCATCAATCTCAGCGACTGTTGACTCAACACTTCTTTCTACCAACAGAAGATTGGACGATAGTTGCCCAGTGGCAGTCTCCTTGGGTGCCCCCTCAGCCCCATCGCCCTCCTCATCCAAAGTCAAGTCCATAACCTGCTCAGCAGGAGGAGGGGACTTGGCTTCGGCAGCATTCTTGGGTCTTCTCTCTTCATCTTCATCCACGGCCTCGGCCTCAGACTCTGATCCACCTTCAGGAGGAGGTGGAGGAAATGGTAAAGGAATAGCGTCGGCCTGGCGCAATGGCGAGTCAGTAGGAAGATCAAGCTTCTTTATCAAGGACATCCAACCAAGGGAAAATCCCCTGTTGCATGCCTGCCTGACTTGAAGCTTGTAGTCTTCTGCGACGTCGGCCATACCTTGAGCATAGGCCTTTTCGTCGGCCTCTTTGATTTCGGCCTCTTTTGTAGCCAGAGCTTGCTGGAGTTCTTTCTTCGCCTGGGCCTTCTGAACCTCGGCCTCTCTTTTCTCGGCCTCAGCAACTTTTCTAACGGCCTCAGCAGCTTCGGCTTTCTCAAGAGCTAAAGTTTGAACTTTGGTTGTAGCCTCGGCTTGATCCTCCAACTTTTTCATTTTTGCTTCAAGAGACTTGATCTCTCTCTTCATAGAAGATGCTTCCCTTTTCATATCAACCAACCTTTGACGATTTTCAAAGGATTGCATGGCAAATGAGTGGGCATGCTGAATGGCCTGCAGAAAAACAGAAAATGTGAGACAGTACTCTCAGTGAAGAACAGAAGAAAAAAATCACAAGTACAATCAGAAGTACTTACTTGAGCAGAGTGTTGGAGCATAAGAGCATAATTTTCATACTCACTAAGCTTGCTATTTCGCTCCAAGTCATTTGGTAGAAGAAGAGCAGTGCTAAGGGCGACAGCAACATTAATGTCGTCAGCACTTTCACTAGCCATGATGGGCCTATCCTCCAGGGATAGATCAGGGGCCCAGGGGACGTCGGGCTTCTTCGAAGCCGAGGTCGTCGCAGACGATGACCTTGGCCTCTTTGTTTGTGTAGACCCTGAGGGTTGGCCCTCAGCAGACCTTTTGGTTGAAGTAGAGGCTGATTTTTTGCTTTCAGCTAGCTTCGAAATCGGCAGAGCATCCTCAGCCTCGGCATCTGTAGCCTTGGCCTTAGGCTGAGCCTTTTTTACCCTCTTCGATTTGGGTGGAATCATTGATTGCGTTGGTGCGGCTTCGGCGTCAGTTGGAAGATCGGCGAGAAGGTCTTGAACGACAGGCCTTGGACGAACCATCTCGGCAGTCTTTACAAGCCTTCGTCGACGTTTACGCTCAGGAATTGGTATTAAGTAGGGGGCCGAGGTTGATGGAAGATCGGCTGGGTCAGATGTGGACTCTTGATCTGTTCGGGATGTGGAAGCAGTTAGGCGAAAATTTTTCGGTGGTTGATGAAGATCTGCAAAGAAACAGACGTTAGAAACAAAGATTATTAAAGACTTAAATAAAAACAACTAAGTGTTGACTCAGGGCTCTTACTCTTGCCCTCTGTGATTGTTCGAGGAAGAGGGTAGAGGTGGACATCTTCATCTGGGCCAAATTCCCATTTTCCAGAAGCAATGAGAAAATCATCTCCAGCCCCCTTGTTGGAGTCTGGGAGGTCGGCTATAATTTTGTACTGAGTGGATCTCGGCTTAAGGTAATAGACAAAACCCCTATCCTTCAGATCAAGAGGGCACATGGTATAACAATATTGAAGGTCGGCTAGGGTGATTCTAAGGTTTTCTTGCCTAGCTAAGGCAATAATACCGTTAATTACCCTATAGGAATTGATAGTCAGTTGCATGGGGTTCAGCTTATAGAAATGGAGAACTTGACGAAAAAGGGGATCAAGTGGAAGCCGAAGTCCACATTCGGTAAAAGCAACTATTGGAAAAGGCATTGTATGATCTGTGGGCACGATGGTATCATTATCCCCAACCAATTTAAGATGAACGTCGGCTGGGATAGAGAATTCTTGCCTAAAGTATTCAAGTTTTGTCGGGGTATTTACCCTATGCCTCCACATACCCATTATATTGGATTAAACTAAGAGGAATATGTTTCAGAAGATGGGCGTTTTTCAGGTTTCCCTAAAGATTAAGGGTTCTATAGACAAATCCCAAATCAATGAAGTATGAAGATAAAAATCGAGGGCACAGATCTGGGGCAGATACAAAAAAGAGAAAACAAAGACGAAGTTTCAGATTCAAGAACAGAGGTATAGTTCTCAGAAACAATAGAGATACAGAAACAAATCAAGAATAGCGGTAAAGAGAATGATGAAAAAAGCATAGAAGTTCAAGGCATAGCCACAAATTCAAGATGCAAGTAAAACCAAGACCTCGAACAAGGTCAGCAATGGCAACAGATAGACAAAAGCACATAAAGAGAATGGAAGAATTAAAGAAGAGGGTCTTACCAGGACAAATGAAGCCAAAGCAATGCTCGTCGAACCCAGAAGCCGGTTGCAACAGCAAAGAAGGCTTTGCAAGAATGGGGGATTAAAAGCAAATCCAGAAGAAAAATTGAAGCGATAGCAGATTCAAAGAAGAATGAACTTTCAGAGAGAGAAAGAGCAGGAAGACGAAAAAGTGAAGAAGAAATAGAGGCAAAAGAAAAGTTTTTGTCAAAAATTTGAAACGGCGGCAAAAATAGGGCAATTATTGCGCCTAGAGCAACGCACGCGTCAGACGGCGCAGACGAAATGAACAGACAGCTTCAGGCGCGTCACAGACACGCTCCAATCCAAACAAAACACGTAAAAAGAAACAGTTAGATATGCATGACAGCCCATACACGTGGGAGAATACAACCGAAGCCTTGTTCTCCGAAGAGAACATGTCGGCTGAAAGTAAATAGTTTTGGCTAAAGTAGTTTTTAAGCTATTACTCAGAAAAGAAGTGACAAAATTTCGGAATAGGTTCCATCACCTCAGAATGCCGACGACCAAAAACCTATATGTATAGATAGTAATCATACTTTGTATTTCTGAAAACAAAGAAAGAAAATATGAATATGAATATGAATACTTTGTGTTTGTTACCCAAGTCATTATCGATATGTTCGAATGAAGAATTATTGTTGATCATCCTCCACTACCTTGAAGATAGCCACATTTTTGAACCTGTTTCACAATCGATTCAATGATGCATATGGAAGAAACCAGAATATAGTTGGACGAAACTAAATGCGGATAGATCTATTACGGGTGGTAGAAATAATCTTAAGGCTAGTTTTGGTGGGATTTTTCGTGACTATAAGGGTGATCCGATATGTGCTTATGTGTCTAAAGTTCTTCATCCTCAAGATGTTCATAATATTTTTGTCGTTGATTTATGGGGAATATGGGGAGGTCTTAAACTTGCCTTAGAACTCGGCAATAAATCCATATGGATTGAATTTGACTCTCTTAGTGCAGTTAAAACAATCAATGGAGAACAACAATCTCATAATCCAAGGGTGAAGTGCGGCTTGGTTTGGATTTGGGAGCTCCTAAACAAATTCGACAACTGCATAATTTCTCATACGTGGCGTGAAACTAATAGAGCTGCAGATTATCTTACGAAGATTGATCTTTAAGTTATCGATATTATTTTACAGCCAATTAATTTTCCTCGTTCCATCATTGATATTATCAAGGCCAAAGCTGAAGGAAGATGGTATTATAGAAGCTAGAGATATTGACTACAATCTATGTAGCTGATTTGATAAAGCTTAACTATTTGTAATCCATTTGGTTATAATTTTACAATTATAATTCATTTTTTTATTAAATTATATCAAAAAATTATAATATAAAAATTTTGAGATATAATCTAATAATTGTAAATATTTTAAGATAAAAAATAAAAATAAAAGATCTCTCTTACCACGCAGTTTAATAATATGTAATTTCTGATAGTAAATTATAATTATTATTTCCATGATACATTCATACAAATCAAATGCAACCAATGACCCAAGTGACAAACAAATCCGACAAGACAAACTTGACAAATTTATTTTTGAATAATTACTTTTTTTTAACAGTATTTTTTTGGTTGATTTTTTTAATTGAAAAAAACTTATTTAAAAGTTAGAAGATCCTTGAAACAAAAAAAAAGGTTAAAAAGAAAATACTAATAAATTCAACACATAAATTTGTTTAATTAAAAATACTAAAATTAAAATCTTACTAAAAGCATGAACCATGTAAAATCTTACTAAAATCTTAGGAAATACTTCCTATGTCCTGGATGACAACTTTTGAGGACATGTAAAATATCTATTATACACTCTCATGCATTATCTATACAATCATCTGAACTCTTACTACATGAACCATGTATTCCGAACTCTCAATGCATTATTTTTTTATTTTTTTTTAGGTCTGGAATAGCCTTGCAGCATCAACATAGATTCAAAATAAAACTACACATTGTTAGAATAGTAGAGAGAGAGGAAATAATATATATTGTATTGAATGAATTGTCTTATACAATAGAAGGCCTGTGTATATAGGCTGAGAAAGAGTATCCTACTAGAAATCTATTTATGAGAAAGAGTATTCTATAAGAAACCTAACTATGGCAATACCTAATATATCTAGGAAATCAATACCTAATATATGTAAGAATATATACCATATATACATTAACATCCCTCCTCAAACTCAAGGATGATAAATATCTCGAGTTTGGAGAGAGAAACTAAAACATGAAATAAAATTAAATAAAATAAAAGGCAAATAGATTACAAAATCCAAACGGGAGCGTAACGGCGCTTGAAATAAATCAAAGGCCAAAACTAAAGTCGAGAGATAGTTTATAGTCATGTCGGACCATTGTAGGAATTGGCTGAAACTAATGCCAGGACAATTTAAGATCGTGCCGGACTGATATGAAAACTAGCTGGAACTAATGCCAAGAGACAGTTTATGGTCGTGTTGGACCATTGTAGGAACTGGCTGGAACTAATGCCAGAACAGTTTAAAGGGGTCATGCCAAACCGATGTAGGAGTTAACCGGAATCAATGTCGGGACAGTTTACGGGGTCATACCGAACCGTTGTAGAGATTGGCTAACCGGAACGGGAGCGTAAGGGCGCTTAAAATAGATCAGAGGCCGGAACTAAAGCCAGAAAATAGTTTATAGTCATGTTGGACCATTATAGGAACTAGCTGAAACTAATACCAAGACAATTTAAGGTCGTGCCAGACTAATATAGAAACTGGCTAGAACTAATACCGAGAGGCAGTTTATGGTCGTGTCGGACCATTGTAGGAACTGGCTGAAACCAATGCCAGAACAATTTAAAGGGGTCAAGCTGGACCGATGTAGGAGCTAACCAATATAGAAACTGGCTGGAACTAATGCCGAGAGACAGTTTATGGTCGTGTCGAACCATTGTAAGAACTTGTAACAACCCCGACTCAAGATTAACGATAATCCATGATTTAATATGCCTAATAAGTTATTAAGATCAGATTTTGAATTAATTGCATATGTGGTGCATTATTTATGTTTTATCTATTCATTGTAGGAGTATCTGTTTGAAATTTCTGTTACCTTTTGTGAATCGAAAGCCTTATCGGCATCCGATCACGAAATTGATTTGGTATATGTGTTATGTGGAATTTATAGAATTTTATGGTAGATTTAATTAAAATTCAATTCGGAACGATTAAATTAGAATAATTAATGCTACTTAGCTTAGCTTAGGCCAATTAATTAAATGCCACTAAGTGGGCTTATACAAGACCACTTCTATTTCTCTTATACATATTTTTGACACTCTTATTTCCCATCTTAAAGCTCCAAACATGAAAGGAAGAGAGAATTAGAGAGTGAGAGTTAACCTCAAGAAGCAAAGAGAAGAATTGCTAGGAAATTAAAAGGGAATTGGAGAATTGAGTTAGGATTCACCAAGAGCTCAAAGAATTGAAGACTTTAGGTAAGAAACCAAACCTTTAGTCTTGAAGTTGAGTTGATTCACCCATGAATTTAAGTGAATTGAGCTAGGAGATGTAAGAACCAAGCTTAAGAAGTAGGAAGGTAGACCAATTCAAACATGCATGTACATTTCATTACATTTGGGGCATGTTTACTAGGAATTCTCTCATACATGTCACAAATTGAGCTTAGTTGTAGAAATTCATCATGTTTTACATCCTCTCATTTTATTTGATCATGATTTAGAAACTTGAAACTCAATCATTTCATGCATGTCATGTTTTTAGAGAATTCATGAAGTTAAGTTGAATTTGTGAACATTTGGCATGCTTTTGGGCCTTGATTTCATGAAAGGATCATTAAATCATGATGTTTTGTGAATATCTAAATGTTTTTCAGAATTTTGGCCCAAGAGGATGAGTTTTGAAGTGTTTGGTTTGAGTTTGAAGCTTGGAGATCAAATCTGAAAATTTCAGAATTTGAACCTACACTCGAGCGTAGGAGTTCACGTTTGAGCGAAGCACTCTGAGTGCGTGCACTTTCACTTGAGCGACATGATACTCGCTCGAGCGTGAAATGCATGTATCCAGAAGTTCATATATCTTGCAGCACGCTCGAGCGACAGAAGTCGCGCTCGAGCGAGGGCCTGAGTCTCGCGCTCGAGCGAGGGCCTGAGTTTCACGCTCGAACGGAGATCAAGCGTCTGTCGAGCATGAAAAACAAGCAACCAATACTTTTTCAAGAGTTTACAGTCCGCTCGAGCTAAGGAAGTCACGCTCTAGCAAACCCTTACTTTTTGCATGTCCGCTCGAGCGAGGAAAGCCACGCTCGAGCATGGACCCTGTTTTCAACAAACTTTGGAAAATGTTTTCTAATGCAATTTTTGCATCCTCATTCCATCCAAGGCATTCCCAGGCCATAATTAAGTCAACATAATAAGAACAAGAGTAAAAACACACTAAGAACAAGTGAAATAAGTTATATACAATTCAAATGTGTGTTTCAGGTATGTATTTGTTATGTGTTAATGTAGGTCACATGCCGTAGACCGTTTGATTAGCCTGCTCTGTCTGTCTGCACCCGAAGCCAACTGTGAGTAATAACTTAGTAAAGTTATGTTCAACTTTATTTATTTTCTGTATAATGAATTAAGATCTGTTTTCTGAAATGATATGTTCTGTACAATGAATGATTGTCCAATTTCTAATAATGTATTTGTGGCATCCTCAGCATCATGTGATATCTGTTAGCTGTTACCCAGTATCGAAGGTTCCATTATGGAACTTATTATGTCTGTCATCTGTTACCTGTACCGGAGGCTCTATCAGGGAGCTCAGCATGTATATTCTCTGTTACCCCGGATCCGGAGGTTCCTTTATGGAACTGGTTATTCATAACCACCGTATGTTCTGCATCTGTTCTGTATCTGTTTTGTTAACGCTAATGGATGTACTACGTATGATTAAGCATGAACTCTGATTTCTGTATATGGTCTGAACAAGAATATGAATATGAATCTGAATCTGAATTATGATTTCTGAATCTATATGGATATCATTCATTAAAATCCTCTACTCCGTTATTATTCATTGGGCTTCCGCTCACTATATTATGTATGTAGGTGAGCAGGCGCGTGACCAGGCCTAAGTTGCCGCCTGGAGTTTTGGTGTCAACCAGCTATCGTGCCTCCCGTGGAGGTTCTTTTTTGAGATCTGCCCAAGCTTTTGTGTTTGGAACTTTTGTGCCTCCTAAATATTTATATATGGACTGAACATGTGTTTGAAAGTTTTGTATAAATGGCTCAAGTGACGTATGACTTATGCTTTTACAACGTCACGTATACGAGTATAAAGTTTTAAATTCTGTCCCATGTATATCATCACAACTCATTGGACCTCGTATATTTTGTATATTTGCTTCCGTAGCCCCTAACTATATGATATTATGTTAAGAGGCCTTTGATAATCCAAGGATTATTGGCCGATTACGATGCTAAACCCATAGGGGCGGGTTTGGGTCGTGACAGAACTGGCTGGAACTAATGCCAGGACAGTTTAAAAGGGTCATGTCAGACCGATGTAGGAGCTAACTAGAATCAATGTCGGGACAGTTTACGGGGTCATGCCAGACCGTTGTAGAGATTGGCTAACCGGAATGGAAGCGCAAGGGCGCTTGAAATAAACCAGAGACCAGGACTAAAGTTGGGTGTCGAACTGACATAGAGAACTGGATGTTAAACCAGCAAGCGTGGCACATATATAACTTATGACGTGGTGCTAAACGATGATGGCAACAAATAACTGAGTACGCCAGCGGGCGGCTTGGATTATGCACCATAGGGGCCGGCTTAGGTTGTACACCAGAGGGGATAGCTTGGATTGTGCGCCAGAGGAGGCGGCTTGGCGGCTTGGATGGTGCACCAAAGGGGATAGCTTGGATGATATGCCAAAGAGGGCGGCTTGGGTGGTTCACATGGTGTATAACCATGCTCACCATAATATAGGTATAATACCCTCCCTCAAACTCAAATAAGTTTGAAGGTAAAAACCTATGTAGGTTGAAACAGAGGGAAAGACAAAGTGGAGTAGAAACACACAAAAAATTGGATTACGAGTAAAAATACATATATATATATATATGATAGAGATA